AACCCAAAGGTTCAATACCGTATTAACAAGAGCCCTTTACTGGTCCCTATATTGAACCACATAAATCCAATCCATCCCATGCAATCTCACTAAGATCCATTTTAATATTATCCACCCACCTACGCCTTGGTCTTCCCAGTGGTCTCTTTCCTTCCGGCTTTGCAACCAATATCCTACATGCATTTCTTCTCGCCCCCATTCGTGCTACATGCCCTGCTCATCCCATCCTCCTTGACTTGATCATTCTAATTAAACTCGGAGAAGAGTACAAGTTATGAAGCTCCTCATTATGCAGTTTCTCCAACCTCCCGTCACTTCCTCTCTCTTCGGTCCAAATATTCTCAACACCCTGTTCTCAAACACCCTCACTCTATGTCCCTCCCTTTATGTCAGAGACCAAGTTTCACACCCATACAGAACTACAGGCAAAATTATAGTTTTGTATATTCTGATCTTTATGTTTTTAGACAGCAGACCAGAAGACAAAAGGTTCTGGACTGAACGGTAGCAATCATTACCCGAGTTCAGTCTCCTCTTAATTTCCTCCTGAGTCAGGTTTTGATTTGTTACAGTCGTCCCCAAATATCTGAACTGTGTCACATTTTCAAAACATCTGTTAACTCTCTTCCACTATACTTGAAAAACTGACCACAACATCGATTTCGGGGTGACTTTACTTTCGAAGGATCAGGTCTGTGTAGTCCTATACTGGCGAACTTTGAGTGATACGTGTTATGTAGCCACAAAGCGAAGTGTGCAATAATTCTTTGGACAAGAGCTAGTAAAGGATACACCGAAGCTCGTTTCGATATAATATGAAGAAAATAATAAATTCAGGAAATGTTCATTATTCAGTTCAAAGCTTGTAATTATATCGTATTTATTCCAGTTAACTTGTTTGGATGTAAAACGTGGTCTGCTACTCTGAGAAAAATACGTAAATCATAAGTGTTTGGAAACAAAATTCCCCAGAAAATATTTGTAGTCAAAGAGGGTGAAGGAGGTGGACAGTTTCAGCTAAAGCTAAAATATGCACAGGAAATTTTAAACTGATTCCTTCTGTATGAAAAATAAATATTGATATAGTCTAAATCGTAGAATAAATACAGATTTTAGAACCGGGATATCTCAGTGTGTATATTGTCGAGACTAGGGGCTGGACTACAGAGATATTTCTCCTCTCCACAATATATGGACCAGCTCTGGGGCCCACCAGCCTCCTATGCAGTGAGTACCGGGGACAGATTTCCCGGGGCACATCGGTCGGGCCCAGGCTAACAGTGCATACAAGTATACCTCCACTTCTCCATACATCTTCATGGCGTGGTGCTTAGTAAAACACAGATACAACTTTACCCTTACCTATATACATTCAAAATATTGCAATAAAATGGTCTGGCAGAAAAGCATTCATACCCAAGGATTTGAATATATATTTCATATATTCTGAATGCCCTTAAAGTCACCGAGCAATTTATTTCAAGCGGTAAATCGTACAGCTTGTATTTGAAGGTATCCGTTTCGAATCTCGGCAGGAGCACCCACTGTCGTGAATTGTTACGTGAATTTCATGGGTACGTGCAGGTGAATGCCAGAATGGTTCATTGAAGTGGGCCACGACTGCTCTTTCCTTCCGTACTCTTGTCCAAATGAATGAAAATGTTATCCTCGCACTTCCGGTGCTAAGTAGCCATTCAAATTGATACAGCGACTTAAAAAACTTACACATCCTTCCTTGTAGATAATTACACAGTGAGTTTTCTTGTCAGGCGATGTCTTACCAAGCCAGTTAGTTTTGCCGAACTAAAATTCCTTTTTTTTCTGAGGTTTATTAATTCACATACTTCGTCACCTCTCGTTTCTTCTGTTCCAAACGCCCCCCCTCCCCCTCCGTAATTTGAAGAAGCGTACTGAGTAACCCTAACACAGAGGGGATGACTGTAATGGAATTTTAAATTGGATGTAGCTAGTTTTGTGAAGTCATTCTATAGGATTTGGTTCCACTCGGACTAAATCCAATTCAGGCATTAACTCAATGTCATTTGCTTTAATCGACGAATTTCTTCAACCGTCTGCTAATAAAAGCTGTTCTGACAGGGAATTGTGAAGACCATTATTTAAAATGTTTGTGTCAGAAATAGAATTAATATGTAAATTAATAACTACACAGTTTAGAAAGCTATTTTTGGCATAATTTGCACTAGCACAAATTCCAACTACATTACATATATCGGATATAACCTCAATGTTTCTGCTGTCACTTGACACAGAATTTGTATGTAGTGTATGTGTGTAATGGTACTGCAGTCTTCGCCAGATATTATCAGCGTCATCAAATCAAGGAGCATGAGATGAGTATGATATGCCACTCGGATGGGGAACTGAAAAATGATTATAAAAGATGGTCTAGAAACCTGCTCGTGTGGGAAATTGGAAAAATAACATTAGAATGGATGTTAGAAAAATGCGGTATGAGGATATGGACTGGATTCAACTGGCTGAGGATATAGAGGCCAGTATATGGTTTTTATGAACACAGTAATTGGCCTTCCGGTTCTATAAAAGGCAGGAAATTTCTGTTCCAGCTGAAAGATTGTTAATTGGTGGAATCAGTTCTGAAAACGTTTGTTTGTCTGCTCTTTAGAGTGAATGCTTCTCCATTCTAGGCTGTTTTCATGTTACATGCGTCAGTGGCATTTAACTTCAGTTCATATACGAGTGACCTCATATTCATGCGGTTCGTTATGACGATTAGGGTGAATAACAATGAGACAAACACGGATCTGCACAACTGTCGCGTTCCCACTGCATGCCGGCTAACAAACAACAGCTGTGGCTGCTGGAAGACAAAGGGTAAAGTGTGAGGGTGGAGCCTGGATAATATGAAACTTCTTGTTCGGTGACAGGATTCATCGTGTAGTGGAATGATAATAATATTAAAGTAGGTCTTAAAGAATTAGAGTGAGAGGATGTGTACTGAATTCCTCGTCTGAGGACAGGAACAAATATCGAGCTCCTGCGCATGTGATAATGAAGGTTCCGGTTCTGTGAAAGGCGGCAATTTCTTGAGTAGATAAGTGACTGTCAGCTTCTCAAGAAGGTTTCTGCTTCACAGAGTGAGTTACTTAGTTGGCCTTACATTTTTATAAGTTATTTTCAAGAATTTCATAAAATTGACCCATAATGGGGGTTCAGTTTCGTTATTACAAAATTGACTTCTGTTAGATTTGGCATTTTGGAGTATAGTCGTACAACGAAACTTATCGAACGATGTTTGAGGTTCTCACAGCGGTGGTTATGAAGTTTGTTACCTTCTAACATGTAATGCGGTGTAGTCCTTGGAGGAGCATCTGTGAACTTCTGCCGGTCTACACGACGTTGCTTCCCAGAAGATAGGTTTTTGGCTTTAAATTTTGCTCCTATCAGATAATTTCTACTGTACATGAGACTGAATCTGACTTGCCATTTTTCTCCAGTGCTATATAACAAAACTTTATTACATAACATAAAATACAGATTTCATTAAGCCATACAAATTTTATTCTGAACGTTTTTTTATATGGTCAGTGGGTTTATTAACAAAATCCTGCCTTATGCTCCTCTGTTTCTTTTCGTCTTGTAAAAAATATTCTTGTTTTTCGACTTAATTGCAAACTTTTGCCGTAGGAATTCAGTCGAGGGTAAATCAGACAAGAAATTAAACTTATTGATTCACATCGTTAAGCATAAATTTTGCACTACACAGGAATGCAAATCTACTATAAATAGTTCTGTTATAATCAAATTTCACGTGTTACGGATTTAAGACTATCGTTGATTACCGAGGATTATTTATAACTTTGCTTACAGTACAGAACGCTACTATAAGTACATACTTTCAAGGCTCTTATTTGTTCTATTGCAAAATGTGATGCATATCGAACACCTTACCGAAGTCTTTGACATCAGTCAGTTCAGCAACAATATCATAGGCACAGCGTTCTCTTTCTGCAATTTCCACACGTTTATTTTCAAATGCCCCGTCTACCATATACAGTCTCTGATACTGTTTACGTTATGTATTTTCAACCAAAAATGTGTTGATGTTTGTTACTTTTTCCGTTTTCTGTTTCTTGCATAATTAAAACGTCAAATTTGTTATTGAGAGTTGTTCTTTCAGTACTGATATTTTCATTCCGGTAGAATTACAAGAATTGTGAATGATATTTGTAGCTTAGTAAGCAGCCTTTTTAATGTTAGGTCTTTGGTGTTTTATTATTATTATTATTATTATTATTATTATTATTGGGCCATAATCTAGGCAATCTGTTCGAATGGGAAGTAGAAGATACTGGAAACGGAACATCGAGATGTAGTCCACAGTGGTTACTACTTGTGTAATTTATTCAGTTCTCTACAAGGAGGCATGTTATCGTGTTATGGTTATTGTGCATCATAAGAAGTACTCAGTATTAAGATCAGTGACGTCTGTTGGGTTAGAACTGTTGCCGTTAATCTTTGGAAAAGAAATAATGACATCTGTCAGTATAAAGTAAACCAGTCTCTTTAAGATGAAGTAAATCAAGGCAAAGCTATCCCTGTAACAGGCCTTGGAGGCCCATAGGTTTGTGAGAAGTTGAGGCTCCCACATTTTCTAGACACTCGCTTCACAGATGGCGGTGTGGATGTCAGCCTTACGCTCCGGCCTCCCTTCAGCCCCAGGAAGATTCCCGGTGCTCATTTCTGTTAGAGGCTGTGTCGACCCCAGAGCAACATTGCGACTGGAAGGATTAGGTCAATTGAAAAGTCCGGTGACCTCGTCGGGAATCGAACCCACGACCTTCCTGCTTGTAGTATTGTGCCTCAACAAACTACGCTAACAGTAGAATCCCAAAACGTCGAATAGGTTACACCAATTATACCCCAATGTCCAAAGTAATAATTGCTTATATGTAACAGATGATTTGTGCAGAAGTAATAGGGACCGAAGCGGACTATTGGATTTTAACTTATATTCACAGATGGAGTGCGAGATGAGGGCACTGCGGCGAGAGCTTGAGGAGACGCGGACGGCGCTGCGACTTCAGACGGTGCGTTGTCGGCAGCTGGTGGCCGCCTTCACATCCAAACTTCAGGAAAAGGAGGCGGAGGTGCGCGCGGGGAGGGAGCTAAGGGACCAGCAGCTCGGACGTGTGCTCAGGGCTCTCCTGATGCTGGAGGCGCGGTTGCGACGAGAACAACGTCACATTAGCCAACAACTTGCCGACAGGGACGACGTCATCCGTACCCAGCAACAGGAGATCGCTCGCCTTCACATGGTGCGGCACTAACGGTTTGATTTTAGCAAATCTCCACATTTCTACCCTTTCCTCTCCCTTCGTTGCGTTCTCATGTCTTTTCCCCGTCTTATTTCTTTTATTATTTATTTCGTGTTTCTTTGTCTTATTTCCTTCTTTAATTCTTGAAATTTTAACTGAGCTTCCACATTTATTCATTTTTCCCATAGTTTCTCTCCTTCTGCTTTCACCAGCAGGGAATTAAGATATTATGCATATAATCTATCGATAGTCAAGTTTAATTCCTTGCCATTCGCGACAGGGGAGGTCCTCCGACAAACTTCAGGTAGCACACAATTCACAGTTTCCATTTCCAGAGCCAAACGAAAATGATGAGAAAGACAAATTCCTATACGAGTCAGTTTTACAGCATTCTAAATTAACTGAATAAGCAGTTAATATATATATATATAATGTAACAAGCAGTGATTCATTTTTAATTAAATACAGTTTTAATTTATAAAGAAAAACACACAAACTTTAATTGACTCAAGCAAAGAGGTTGGTCTAGAAGTAAACACAGAGAAAACTAAGTATGTTACTGTCTCCTTACCAAAATGCAGGGCAAAATCGTGATATAAAGACTGGAAACAGATGTTCTGAAAATGTGGCACAGTTCACATATTTGGGAAGAACGATAACAGATCGAAACCTGATTAGGAGGAAATTAAGAGGCGATTGAACTCGAGTAATGCTTGCTACCATTCAGTCCAGAACCTTTTTTCTTCTCGTCTGTTGTCCAAAAACATAAAAATTAGAATATACAAAACTATAATTTTGCCTGTGGTTCTGTATGGGTGTGAAACNGATAGGATGGAATGGTATGGATTGGCTCGATCTGGCTCAGGATAGGGACCAGTGGAGGGCTGTTGTGAACATGGTAATGAACCTTCAGGTTCCATAAAGTGCTGGAAAATTCTTGAGTAGCTTCATAATTTGCGGCTCCTTGAGAAGGGCTCAGCTCCATGAGCAAGTAAGTAAGTAAGTACAGTTTTAATTTACTACCATAAATTTTTGGAAGCAGTGAATATATAGGATGTGAATAATCAGATTTTATTGCATACAGCACCTGCTTCACATACAGAGTTTGTCCGGAAAGTAATGCAATTTGTTTTTTCTCGCCGCTCCTCCTGATCGCAGCACGTTGGGACCAGTTGGGAAAGGGGGGGGGAGACTCTTAACTTCACACCGCAATGGAGAAACCTATTCCAGAATGTAAGTACATGCTTCCTTTATAAATAATTTTGTAATACTGATTTTTCTGTTACAGATAAACAGGAAACATTGTGATGCCATTGCAGTAGAGAGCCAGGAGAATACTGAGAGAGAATCACTGGAGAGCTCTGGTCAAAGTTCCACTGGAGAAGACTCTGGGTTGCAACTGTATGATGGAGACATGAGGAAGATACAAGAAAGCCAAGACAATAGTGCCACTTCAGAAGAGGATGACCTCTTACAGCATGGTTCTGTTGGTTACAAAGATCTTGCAACATCACAGACAACAGCTTTTGTCAGGTTTAAGAAAAATAGTTTAAACAAACTGAATAACCAGGGGTCTTACAGGCCGTTGTCCAGACGCAGGGGATTGGCAAATGGACACAAATTCTTTGTTAATCAGGAGTACAACATGAGTCAAACATCAAAGACTTTTGAAGGCAAACATCTGGAATTTAAACAATCAACAATTTCAGAGTCACAGGAACTAGAAGACAGTATGGAAAATGGCTATCATGAGGATGAATTAGGGAGTAGGGATTTATACAGAGACTATCAACATAATCCTGTCTTGGAGTGTGTTAACCAGATTCTTCTCCGTGATCAAGAGGAAATGGAAACCACAACATATCAACAGGAAAGTATATGCAAGCCTAATTCTAAGGGGACAGGAAGATTCAATTACCATTGTCACAGCATTAAAGAGGAAGGTGACGAGGAAAGCTTCACAGAGGGAGGAGAGGAAGAGATAAGAAGCCAGGCAGTTGAGAGTCAGTCAGATCACCATACTGACAACCATAGCAACTATGATAAGGAAAACAGTGAGCAAGAAAACAAAGAGCCTCTGAAGTTCCCTGTTAAAGACAAAACACCACCTCCACCAGTTAAAGCTCAACTTCTTGAAGAGAAAGCTTGCCTACTGATGGCATCTCAACGACTGACACTTGTCCGGAATTTAGAATTTGAAGAGTTAGATAAGAAAGATACATCAAATGTGTCCTCTTGTCCATCACGTGTAGAGACAGAGATCATATCAGGCAGAAGTCAAGTTCCTCCAGCTTTGCCTCCAAAACCACCACAGCTTGGGGCTAAAGGCTTGTTCAAGAAGAGGATGAATTATGCTCAACTGAATCAGAATCATCCTCAGAGCATCATTACTGTAAGCTCAGCAAGTCAGGATCAGGAAACATGTTTGGAATATAGACCTAAACAGTCCGAGGGCGTTAGCCAAAATCAACATAATATTCCTGAAGGTAAGAATTTAACGGAACACAGTGCAAATTGTAACCATCATGATACACAAATTCCTCTGACCCCTCATCTGCTCGAGAAGCCACGACATCGACAGATCCTGAGCAATGGAAGTTTGAAACTTGCTCTGAACCAAGATTCAAGCCAGCAGACACTAAACAACAGCCACAACCACCTACAGGAGAAAAACAACAACTGTTGTATCACTTCTCCAAGCTTCAAAGAAAAACTTGATAATTTAAATACATCAGACTTTAAGAGTCATTCTAATATCTTGAGGCATCAAGTGAAAGGTGGAGGATCAGTTACCATTGTAAAAAATGACAACCAGTTGGATGGTCACCTAGCTAATTGCCATAACCATGATCCTAAGCGACATAAAGCATTAAGTCACAGCCACACAACCCCATTGAAAAGTGATATAGAAACACCACCTGCTGTCAGTAAGAACAGCAATCACTGCAACAAGATTCGTGTTGGATCATCTGTTTCATCTCTGATCACAGGTTCTTTGGGAAACAGTATTGTGAATGAACTAACTAAGGGTGAACCAGAAGAAACTTTGGTATTGCCTCGTGTCTCGCAGATGGTACGGCGGTTTGAGGACTTAGGTACTGGCATTGGAAGAGAGTTATCTCATGATGACGGTGATGAAAATGAAGAAGAAGAGGGAAACAATACACTGAGGTGCAACTTTGAGGAATTCAAATTGGAAGACGTGGATATGGATAGTGTAGGGAGTGGGGAGGATGGAGGACGACCAGCAGGAGATGGTGCTGAAGCCAGGGCTGCCATGCTTCAAAATGGCAACAGTAGTGGGAGCTATGAGCATTTTCTGGAATCTACAGGTCTCAGCCAAAAGTCCATTCTTACCCCTAGCCGCTTGTACAGTAATCACAGGAATGTGATGAAACCAAAAGACGTTAAACATCGCAGCAAAGTGTTGAAGGCAGCAGCAGTGAATGGGAGGAGCGGTGGTCCTGTTGTCAAATACTGGGTAGAGCCTTTCCTTTGAATATAACATCCAAATCAACTGCTGAAGTGAGTTCTTGGGACTGATCTTTCACAGATGTTAATAGGTGCACTTGAGTTAAATGTGATGGGCATTACTTAGCTTGATATGTTATTTAGAAAAGTAAGAAATTAATACAGAAAACCAACCCTCACAAAGAAAATAGTAAGTACATCCTAAAATTCTTTTCAACATTTACAAATATTCAGAAAATTATTTTAACATCAGTTCTGAAAATTAGGAGTAGTAGTGTTTCTACCTCCATCAAGTCATCTTGAACATATCACACTGCCACAAGTGCTGTAACTGAAACACCATAACTGAACACCATGCTTTTCAAGCACGTGAAAATAAAAAGGTATCTCCATAATGAAAAAATTGAATAAGTAATGACTGGAAATCGTTTCTTTTCTGTGTTTGTTAAACCAGATTTGTTAATATTTACTACGGCGGAGAGTTAAGAGATCAAGTCTAACATGACTGAAATTTGTGTCTACTCTTGTCACCAGTTATGAAAATGGTATTGTTCTCCTATTCATCTCTTGTCAGTACTGTAACCCCCCCCCCCCTTTCCTAGAAGTATATGTCTACCTTCCACTGTAGAAGGATATATGAAAAAGCTGATGATATTTTTGCTCATTTGTCACATGTAATCATGTTCTTTTTAGTACCATAATTCATATATATGTAGTAAGTAAATTGTATTTGTGCTGTAATTTGAAATTATTGAATTAGTAGTCCTTTCTTCTTGCATTGAACATCTAACACTTACCAGAATAGACAGTGTCGCATGAAATTGCTCAACACAGAAAATGTAAACATTATTTAAGAGTCAAAATGTGCATGTTGGCAGTTGTCATATATTGGTACTAGTAGTTGTCTGGTTGAAATGGATTGAGAGTTCCTGCTGAACTGGTGAAAGTGAATTATTTAACACTTGCAGATATTATAAATGAAAAAATCCAACTGATTTTAAATAAATAGATCCAGTATAACCTTGAAATGGAGAGTAACTACATTTCACATAATATATCTTTCCTTTACAGTGAAGAAAATTTTCAGAAACTTGAATGCAGTGAGGTGGAATATTGAAAACTATTTGAATAAAAAATATCTTTATCTGATTATTTAAAACTGCCATATTTATACCTAGGTATAAATTATATTTAACACACAGCCTTGCTCAAATTCTTATGAATATGGTCCATTTCCTTCATTTTAAATATAATTTTTAATATGCATTTCACAAACACCAATATGTTTTGAATATGTGCATCATGTCTTGGAAACCTGTGACAGATATATCAGTTGTAGTTTTCATCATTATTTCATTAAAGTATGATACAATGGTAATTACATTACATTACATTGCATTGCATTGCATTGCATTCCATGGATCCAAAGTTAGTCAAAATGACTGTGGGATGTGGAATATGTCATATAAATACAAAACATATGTACTCAGACAAGAGAAACCAAGAATACACAGTGACTACACACAAGGCTATTTAAAGATACATAAGTTATTTTCTAGACAATAGGTATTCATCAACAGAGTTGAATGAATATGTATTTAAATATCGTTTCAGTGCTTTTCTAAATCGTGCCTTTTCATTCATGAGACCTTTGAGATCAGATGGCAGGTTATTAAAAATGTTGATCCCAACATAATATGCGCTTTTCTGAAAGCATGAGAGGTTAGCAATTGGTTTATGAAGACAGTGTTTGAGTCTTGTGTTAATACTGTGTATCCATTAAAACATAGGACTAATTGATTTTCCTCAAACTTTGTGATACAATGGTATTCCATTGAAACACAGGACGAATTGATTATCCTCAGACTTTATTTGTTAGACTAAAACTATTGTCAGATATAAGTGGGATAATTAAATAAGTCAGCTGCTATGACCAGGGTATGATTTCTGGCATGGGGCAAGATTTGTTTCTGCACCTTAGCATCCAGACCAACGCTGAGACCCACCCATACTCTTATCCAATGGGTAAAATGGTACTGAAGTAGTAGGAGCAAGAAGCTGACACCTCACTTCCATCTAGTTCTAAGGTTAGGAATGGTGGAGCTACATCTGAACTCCTTATGTCTTCATGGCTTGATGCTTAATTAATCAACACAGGGACCACTTACTTTTTACTTTTGTGTGTCATTTAGTTATAGGCAGAAATGAACTGACAGCAATGAAGGAATAATAGAAATGAAGCAGTTTATACCATTGATAACTGAGTCATTTCAATCCAGTACATAACCTCTTACCAGGTACATGATGATGCTACAAAAGAAGTTTCTATTTCTGACTCAGCTCTTGTCTGCTCATACAGCGCACAGTATGCGTGCACCATTTTAAAACCATTATATGACCCAGCACTTGGCAGTCACAAAGTAAGGAAATTTAAGTTTTTTATGTGTTCGATAGTTGTTAAACGGAAAATTTTAATTTCATTATCATGATGTTAACAAATATATTTCTATAAAGTTGTGAATAAAAATTGTTTTGTGAAGCCATATGTTGTAATCCTAAGTTGTACAAGTATGCAATCAAGTCGCTTGTTAAAGTATTATTCAGATATTGTTATAAAATAAAGTCCTAATAATGTTCACGCTGAAAATGAATTTCATTATTTCATTTTATTTTTTTATGTGGCTGTTCCATTATTCAGGCAGTTAGGTACTGGCTACTTATCACAGAGCCTCTGTTTCAATTTCAGGTGACTTCATGTAGGATTCATTGTGGATTAAATGTCACTGGAGCAGATTTATTTCTGTGTATTTTAGGTTTTCCCTTTTTAATCATTATACCACCATTCCTCCATACTTATCTATCACCACCTTCTGAGTTGTACAACACATTCAGAAAGTAACATGTTGTTGCATTCTCTCTTTAAATATGGGGCTTTATTTCTGACCTGACACTTAGGTGGTCACAGTGCAAAGAAATTGTTCTTTCGTTATGTTCTTCCTCACTTTGAAAGTAGGAGATCTGCATGCTATTTCTTTTAGGTTTTTAGTGTCCAGAGAGTTTTTTGTTGACATTGCTGTAGCCAGTTATGTTTAATACACACAGACATTTAAGAATCTGATGTTAAATGTAAGGTTATGAGAAGAAAAATACAATATATCGTATAATATTCTTTCTTCATTTTGTATATGATAATCTCCTAGTGACCATACATTTACATAGACAACTTAGTTGCATGAGGGCTTCTTATCTTATATTTTCCACCATGTCTGTCTGTATAGATCACCGTATTATAAGGTATTTGTTGGTGAAATAAGTACAGCTTCAATAGTAGTATGTTAAACAGTAGAAAGTGCAGGAAGTTTTTGAAACATTTTTTGCATGAAACCTATCTATTATACTAACAATCACAATTAAAATTATAAGAAAATATATCAAATTATCTAAATTTGTCTGTAGGATAACACCAGTAACCACATTCCAAACTGGATGCTTTAGATCTGATAGTCTTTCAGGAATAAATATTATTTATTCTAAATTAAGAGATAGTCTTATCACTAGAAGCCTAACATGAGACCTCATATTCTGACACGAATCTTTCGTAAGTCACTGCAGGCCGATACACAAGAGCCTATAGAATCTTGTGGTTCAAAAATCAAAAGACTCAACTTGGAAATTAAGTAATAAATTCCCACAAAAGCTTGCAAGAGGTTGGGGAGCATCCAGAGCCTTCTTGGACAACAGTGGAGAAGAGGAAAATTATAATTATAATAATTATATATATACACACACACACACAAACACATGCACATGCACACGCGCCTGCACATTCCTTACTTTAAATTTCTCTCAGTTTCTATCTCAACACAGACATAAAAAATTCAGTGAAATGAATGAACCCAAATTTTATAATGACGATTCTAAAAACATTAGCTAAATGATGTAGAACCAGAATTTCTATTCATTGCTCTAGTGGGCTGCACCTGAAAGTACTTTATCACTTCTGCCACTGTTGCATCTAGTCAGATGATTTCTATGCATAAATATGTCTGTCATCCTTTGAAATATGCCAGAAATTGAATACACTGTTGCCCTACTAGTGTTAATGCCTCAGTCCAGTGTCACGATTGCTGGAAAAGGCAAATCAGAATGAATGTGTCATCAGTTAGTCAATAGTGAATATGAAGTGTTTTTCCATACAGCTGAAGGAAATGTTGAAAATGTATGTAACATGAAACTTGATACATCACACAATGCTGTGCAAGATATTTGCACCTGAGAGAAAAAATAATGCGGGTGGATAGAATTACATAATAAGAGGCTTAATGCTCAGTTTAGGGTTTCTCAGGCACTAATTACATTTGTGTGACAAATTTGCATGCCACATTCATTCTCATTCTGAAATTGTCGACGCGTCAGTTTAAAAGAGGCCGGCAGGTAATAGTAATAATGAAGGTTCATAGGTGGCAGTTTGATCCTAAGCGAGGACTGTTTGCAATAAGCGCATTGTCCTCTAAAAACAGTTATTTCACGGTAAACCCGCGTTTAAAACCAGTCAGGTGCAGGCGGGTTTCATGCTCAGGTGAGTTGTAGGGCCGGCCGACCTCAACTTCGTGAGTTACAGTAGAGGCAGTGACATGTGATTTGTGTTGATAAATGAATGACAGTGTCAATAATATCAATTCCTTGAATTAGTTCATAAAATTGAAATTGTGTTTGTGAGTGGAAAGACAGATGGGCTGAAGACACAACTTACAGACTGGAGCAATCATCTTACTTTTCTTAGCATCAGAGACGCTCATAAAACATTAAGCATAAAATGACAAGGTAACGTACACAGTGATCATATCTGTTGAATGGGAAGTAATGGGGCCGTCGAAAGGGAGAGACAAGGAAAACGTGAATAAAAAAATATCCTTGTTTGTTAAGTTTTTCAGAATTAAATAGGATTCATAAACGGACTGCCTTTCTGAAATACAATATATCACAAAAAATAATCTGGTATGTCGTGCTGTTTAACCTATAACTGTGGGATTCATTATACGCACTTGGTTGGATATAAATAAGCACATATCAGGCACTTTAGAACATTAATATTGCTATTAATTTCATTAATGTACTGGGATAAATGTTATGTTTCTCATTATCCTTCGTAATAATCCATTTCCATTCGACAGAGTAGTCTTCTTAACAATGATTCATTCCACAAACTGAAAACGTACGAGCTTTTTAAAAGTTAATTAAAGCTATGTTATGTTTTGTCTCATCAAATAATCCCGATTTCAAATTTGCCTTGAAGTGTAATAGTATAAGAGAATTAAGCATGCTTGTTGAAAACCTGTGACGTAATGCGATACCCGTAAAGAGTTACGTAGGCAATAATGAAGAACATTGAAGTTTTTCGTCCTTGGATATTTCCTTCTTTACCACGAGGAGGGAAAATTGTATGTTCGTCCGGGGTTGCAGACTGCAGTTTTTATATGGAGAAGCATTTTATTTGCTACACGATTCTGAAATACATAATTATTACACCCCCTTTACTTTTAATGACGTGTTCCAACATGTAGATAATTCACGGTTCCAGCTTTGCTGTTTGTGCCCACATATCCAACAACCTTATGTTTCATATTATGCCAATGTAGTTTCGCACTATTTGTTGTGCAATTAATTTAATTTCCAAAGGAAATTAGAACTAATATAATAGTAGCAAAACACAGTTACACAACTAACGATTTCAATCCCTCCGCGATGGGCTGTTCCAGTGACCTTTTTCGTGGCGTCTAATCGAAATGTTCCTTTATTCCTCAGTACCCCCACAGAATAATTCTGAGGTAGCGTTTCACTATTCTCGCAGAAGAAACACGACATAGCCCTGAATATAAACAAAAACGAAGTCGTCAGTGATCAACACATTAATCTCAAGAGCCGGGATAGCGCAGTCTGTATAGCGACTGGCTACGGGGTGGACGACCGAGGGGTCGGAGTTCGAATCCTGGTGTAGGCAAGAATTTTCACAACTTCATGTAGCCCAGATCGGCTCTGGAGCCCACCCAGCCCCCTATCCAGTGAGAACTTCGGACTCTTTCCCCGAGGGTAAAGCGGCCTGGACGTGAAGCTGACAACTCACTTCCAACTAAAGCCTAGGTCAAGAAAACGTGGGCCTATACATACACTTCCCCATACGTCTTCATGGCGTGGTGCTTAATTAGTTAGGCACAAGGAAAACGTACCTTTACCTCAAGTACTAGCTATGAGAATGTTAATCAGTTCTTAGACTTTTATATCCTAATTAGCTTCTCCAAATTTTATAATAATTGAAAGGTGTCGTAATAGCAGTGATACGGTGTTCCAGTTTCATCACCTCATGGGCTCATGCTGTTGTTTGCTGAATTGCTGCTGTTGTCATTAATAATGAGCCTATATGGGCATCACTGTTTTAGACATGTCATGTAATGTAATAGGGTATTTATTTTTATTATAGTGTCAGCAAATATCTCTGTTGTTTTCTAAAATGCACTAGTAATGTTTGCATTTGCATTGTCTTTCAAGGCATGGTTCATAATTTCATGCAAAATTGTATCGAACATTCTTTTCTTGAGGTTAATTTCATATAGAGACGAAATTATTGGGGTTATCACTGAATATTTTGAAGTAACTAATCAGAATTTTTCTGTATTTTTCATACACTGGAGACAAAATGAGAATGCAACGGGTCTCTATATCGGATATTTACAGACTTCGCTGACTGACCCAGGGAAGACAAATGTTGTACAACGCTCTCAGTGTCATTAAGAGGTAAAGGTAAATTTGGCCACGTATTTAACTAATTAAGCATTACACCACGAAGGCGTATAGGGAAGTCGATGTACAGACCAACGTTTTCTCGACCTCGGCACTGGTTGGAGGTGAGTGGTCAGCTTCACGCCCCGGCCACTTTACGCCCGGGGAAAGTACCACCGATACCTATTGGATAGGAGGTTGCTTGGACGCCACAACCGGTATGAACGACATGTAGAAGTGAGAATTCTTGACCCCACCGAGAGCCGAACTCCAACCCCTCGGTCGTCTATCCAGTAGCTAGTCCCTAAAACGACTGCGCTATCCCGTCTCACCTCAATGACATTAGTATATATACAATTAATATATCTTATGGTGATCGTGTGAGACCGAAAGTTGTTGTGAACAATTAGTGAATATAACGTGACACTGAAGAACAATCATGCAACCTAATGTTAAGGAAAGTTGCAGAAAAAGAAGGAATTTTAAATAATAAAATTAATTAAGTATTGCATCAGGACACTCACTGTTCTTTTAAAATTTATGGGCGGAACATTTTAAATACCACACCAGAAATGGCCACGAGCAACTCCGTGTGCCTAGGGCTACCAGTCTAATGAAAATTCCGCCATCGACTTATAGTTGTAGCATCTCTCAGTCTGTAACTTGCAAGAGATATGTTCGAAAAAAAAACTCCGTGGCCTGAGGGAGATGACAAATAAGTGGTAACGTTTAGTCGGAAGCTATGAAGGGAAGATACGTGAGAGTAGATGAAAGGATACCATAAATGTAGATTTTAAGAAGAGTTTGCTGTGAAGGTTGCATTGATCTGCGTCACGTTAGGGCCCAGTGGGGATCTATTGTCAACACGGCAGTGAACATTGAGGGTTGATAAAAACGGAAAATTAAGTTGATTAGTTCAGCGAATATCAGTATTCCATACAGTCACTTAGGATTTAGAGTATTTGAGGTCAAGAGAAAACAATAGACCTACATGCAATAACGGTCAGTAGTCTAAATTTACAGTTTTTTACTGTCATTTAGCTTTGTCGTGTATCTTAGTGTATTTGGTCTTGAAAATTCATGGCCAGTCATTTCATTCTCCAGTTACTTTATTTAAGCTTTGTAATAGAAACAATAGAATGCCCCTTTGAAATAGAAAATTCACATGAAAAAATTACCAACAAAGGCCATAATACCTTTAATGCATGACGCCTGAAAGCCGGAATAGTTCATGGCTAGGCAACGGCTCGATGAACACATTCCCGTGGAAGAAAACTCGGATAACAATAGAAGAGTAGTGTTTTCTGTGGTCCACGCCACTCTCATTACTACTCAACGGTGCCGCAAACACCTCTGCAACACTATATTATTATTATTATTATTATTATTGGAGGGGGTGGGTTTCCCCATGCACCGCGACTAATAGTCTATTGTACATCCTCCTTTGATATTCTACCAGTCGCCATACCCTGCCGGTACTGGTGCTCGCTATCAGCCCCGTTCAGCCAGCGAAGCTGGCAGTGGTTCCCGATGCTTCCCCATCTACCGGAGGCATTGAAAACTACTTGGGCGGGAAACTTTGTCTAATTTTGCTCAGAGGTCTCCTAGAGACATGAGGATCTTTTACGTGCCGTAAATCTACGACAAGGGACCCACGGCTTAAAAATTCCGTGACCTCCGCCGGGTTTGAACCCGCGTACCTTGAGTCATGAGGTGGGAACGTTACCCCTAGACTACGGAGGCCGCTTCTGCAACACTAAATCAACACGCAACAATAGAGGAAGCAGTGTTTTCCGTGGGGGCCGGTTCGAGGCTATATAACGAGGATCTCACGCAGCTAGGATTAGAATTGTAGTTGAGTTCTGGAGCTGGCAGTTGCAGCAGAGAATTGAGGGAGCCTCAAGAGTTGGCAGTTGGTAGAATAACGGCAAGAAAGGAAGTAGGCTGTGCAAGGAAGACTTCATAGTGTACTCCAGTTACATTGAGACTGTTATGAATCCGTTACCAGGATATGACTAGTTAAGACTGAGGACATCAATTTGCGTAACAATGAACTGTAAAGTATGTAGATCAGCGATAGCACTGTAATTGCCTGAAGTTCAGAGTGGAATGTATAAGGTGTCAATAAATTCAATCATCCAATAAAAACCCGTCTTAATACTCACGCACACCTCTACACGTGACAGCACAACAGAATTATTAATCCCGTATCCTGCCTTACTGACGGTAAGGTCACCATATGAGAGCTGCGCATTAGCCAAAGTGTTTATACAGAATATCTTACATGACCTTTGCATTGCATAGGAAACCTTTTAGTTGACATTGGAAAGTTTGCAGGACAATACTTAACAATTGTCTTAGCAGTTCAGGTTTAAAATAACAGGAAGTAGTCGAGGGACAGCTGCAGATTGTAAAATATTAACTGAAGTGGCTATAGGAGTCAATAATGAAGCTTCACGTCAGTGGAACATTTTATACTCGTACTTCGGTGAGCGAGTGACTTGGCGCGTACCTCGGTAAGTTGGTGTATGTGAGTGAGCAAGAGAGTATGTAGATGCGTAAGTCGGTGGTTGAGTGTATCTGTAAAATTTGAACGAGAGTCGCACACCAAATAATTTGAGAGAGAAATGGAAAGAGCATTCACAGATTCAAGAAATCGATTCAGTTCCTCATGCACATGCCCTAAGGTTCATTTACAAGTTCATCGCTTTGCGGTAGATTTCTGCCAGTTATTTTATGAGATAGCATCAAATATTAGGACTACTGATGAATGATGAATTGGAAAGGTGTGTAAGGAAATGATCCTAGCCTAATGGAAGTAATATCGCTGTACTTGCCTGGAGGGACTGAGAGAAACTAGAGTCTGTGTTGCGGCCGGTTCACCCACTTGATCCAAAGACGAAAATGAAGTTTACGCAATTGTGTTAAACGTTAACTTTTAAAAAATTACATGAGAAAGTATTTCTCAATAGGGCCGTTGTTTTAGTATATTACGATTTTTTTTTGCAAACGAAAAGTGCAAGTAATTAGATAGCGTTCAATCTGGC